ACATCTGGTCTGCATAGGAGGTGGTGCCTCGCAGAAAACTTTCAACTGCCCTTGCTTGCCAAAACCTGAGAAATAGAAGAAACGAGGCTTTGATTTTGGGGCAAGAGGAGTATTTTATCAAAACCATAATTTAAATCAGATTTCCTATTTAGTTTCATTCCGATCTGAAGCTGGAGTCAGACCTCTCGATTCTGCAGAAAATCACTGACTGTACTGGTATGAGGTTCAACAAAAGCTTTGGCATTCTCCCTTACGTGCATTGCTGTTGTGGCCAAGTGCAAAGCCAGATCTTTTCACAGCTTATGATTCTGAAGCATTTTCAACTGCTGTGAGCTGTATGAAAACAAACCAGCTTCCCAGTCAACTCAAAACAGCATGTGACAGTGCAAAATGAACCCACCTGAAGGAGGATTCAGCTGGTTCCTTCTTCATGACCTGAAGCAGTCTGGTCAACAAACCTCTCTTCCCATCACAGACAAGACTCCTGGAGGATGTGAAGAAATTACAGCATGAGTGGAAGGGCTGGGCAAGAACTGTACCTTGTAGAACACTGAATCCAGTTTCTTGTCCAGAGCTTTTATGATCAAAATCCCAGTATTAAATATATAGTACAAATATTCATTAGTTTTCGCTACTAGTTCTATCAGCAGAAGAGTTCTCCTCGGTGCCTTTGGTAAACAGCTGCAATACCTGCAACGTGAGTTCCAAAGAAATCCTAAAGAAAAATTTTTCATTTTCTCTCAAAACGTTAATGATTTCAGAAATACCAATTCACAGCTTGTAGGAAGCAATGCCTTGATCTCGTGTACCACGAAAGGCAACATGGAAAAAAGAATGCTAAGGGTGAAAAAGAAACCAAGTTTAGGCCAGAAACTGAGCAATGCTGCCTGTCTGGCTACACTAACCATCCTGCAGAGATGGAATAAGATGCTTCAAGCGGCACTCTTCTACTCAAAAAAGACCCTACATGCATATTCAGCAGATGCACCCAGGTTACTGGCTTACGTACTGTCCCAGCACCTTTGTGGGCAGTCAGCAGCCACCTGACAAAGCCCTTGTGGGAAGTGGCTTGTCTCCATAGTCTGTTCTTACTAACACCCCAGAGAGATGAGAAACTTTATATGTTGGAAAAAGCTGTTTACACCCTTGATCTGCTTCCTTTCAGTGTGCTCCGAACAGGGTGAGTTTTTTTTCCCTAAATACTTACTCCTTTCGAACAAAACCAGAAAGGTACCTGTGCTTAGAAGGAAAGGATTCGTGTAACACAGACACCATTTCTTCCCAATTAGGCACAGTATTATGATTATAATTAAATCCAGAAATCCTCTTAGATAACTCCCTTCAATTTGGAAGCGAAGTAAATCTGCTCTGTGAAGACCAAGTCCTTGATGATACTCCTGGAGTGTTCTGACAACTAAATTCTGCAAAGTGTTTCACCTTGTGAGGTACAGAATCGTGTATTAAAGAGCTTATCAAAGCAAAACAGTCAATCTAACAGACACTCAAATATAACACTAGAGATTCTGTAAGTGGTTTAACATGTTAATCTAATTTAGCTTATTCTAGTTATTAGCTGCTCTTAAAATAAAAAAGTGTGAGCAGACACACTTAGATCTGTTTACGCGGACTAGGAATGGACATTATGTGTGCACAGACTGCTTCTGAATCTCAAAAGTAAGATTTATTGGCAGCAGCAATTCGTGCATTAGAGGGATCCCAGTTTACCTTCCAGCTCTGTCTGCAATGCCTGTATGAGAAAGGCCCAGCAAACAGGCAGACCTAGCACACCATAATGAAGTCTGGGCCATGAACTCAAACCTCCCGTTTTAGGTTGCTTTTGTTTTTAAAATGCCTTAGCACAAGCACATTTTGGATTTGCTAATGACCATGACACCTCCTCCTGAAACATGAAATTCAAGCAAACGTGGTGGATAGAAGGACCTCAAACAAAACAGGTGACATCAAACCTCCAACATAAGTGCTTGCAAAACGCTAGAAACTGCTGACCTAAGCCCACTCTCCCTACTCACCTGTCTGTGTTGACAACTGCATCAACTTCGGGGATATTGGCTTTATGGGAGATTGCACTCAGCTCATTCAGTTCTTGGCTGTTTAAAAGGAGATACTTGTTCCTAAAGCAAGACAGTTGGGGAGTAGGGGAGAAAAAAAAATGATGAATTCAAGAGGCAGACAAACGTGCAATTCTATGAAGAGTAAAAGCCACGTGCTTGTGAGTGCTGCAGGACTACGCAGTTGGCTTTCACCTCTCCAGTTCTTCACAGCCATTCACACTCCCCTCCACCACAGCACACTCCCAGGTGAGGCCAACCAGCTGCTATTCTATCAGCCTCCTCCAAAATTTACCCAATGTGAGTTTCAACTCTGACCAGCTTTGAGATGCTGATTCTTTGCTGACCTGTTCAGGATCTTATTTTGCTGAATTTCAGCAGACTTAAATAGCAAAATTTTTCACAGCTTCCTACAGTCTCTCTCTGCCATATAGTGACTATGCTCCTTATCAGTAATAAATCTCAATTAGAAAGCAGAAACTGCAAGAAAGTACTCTATCATCCTGGTATTTTATTACTTGGAGCAAATTGTTTAGTCTGGAAATATTAAAAAAATTCATAAAATGTAGAAAACAAAACAGGAATGGATATAAAACCACAGAACTTGCATTAAATGCTTCATTCAACTACTGAACTTTTCATAAAGAAAACCAATTAATTTATCTGTAAAATAAATTAAATGCAGAACAAGTCTGACAAAGTAGAAATGTAGTCCCAAGGCTCACTTTGACAGACTCCCTGCCTAATGCCAGCGTGCTCCCTTACAGCCCCCTCCTACTTCGAACTGCTCAGAATCAGACAGCAAAGATTTATTTACAGGAACCCTAAGGGAGCACAGGAAGCAGTGGCGAGTGTGACAGCGTGCTAGAGAACCTATTCATCAAAACATAGCAACTACACAGAGAACAAATTATTAGACCAGAAAAGTGATGGGGATGTCGTCTTGCTTCAAACAGTCTTCCAGATTAGTGCCCACTGAGGCTGCCATGTGAAGTTTCTTTTGATCTGGATCAACAGGTTTCTGCAATGAAAATACAGCCTCTCTCTCCACGCAATAAACAGTTCTGCAAGTTGGGTTAATACACAATTTTAGTGAAGTTAATATTAATGTGTAAGTACTTGCTCTCATCCTCAGCTAACTCAGCTTGTCTGTGAGTTCACAGAAAGTTAATATAACTATTTGTTTAAAAACCCTAACCCAACTCCACACATTCCACTTGCTCAAACGCTACAGCCGAAAGCTGTTTGCTGTTGAAACAAGCCTGAGATCTTTGTAGGAGCCACTTAAGCAGGAACACAATCTAAAGAGATTTTATTGGAAAACCTGGAGTTATTCCTGGGCAAACAATGTCCTGCATGGAGGATTTATGACAGGTCAGCCTTCCTCTTTATTTACAGTATGTCCAGCAGCTCCCTGTTCTTAAAGCTTACACTCCCCACTCGGAAAGGCTGGTATTTCCAAAAGGTAGACCTAGCAGTATCAGACAAAACCAACACAAGAGCAGCACCCTGACTGTAGGCATGACCAACCAGGCAAGAACTGCATTCGAGGCATATTGCACGTTTGTAAGGAACATCTTGCAGGACTGAATTAGAGCAACAGGATGCTGATAGAATGCAAGATACGATTCTGCAAGTCAGAACTGAGTTACAAGTATCTCTGTAGCAGCAGTACAGCATTAAAAAAAAAACAAACCCACAAACACAAAAGAACAAGGAAACTCCATCGCCCCTCAACTACTCCAGCAATCTCCATCAGTGTGCCTTTTGAAGGCAAACAGAAGCTTTCTTCCAACCCACTTTCCCAATGGCTAGCTGACAGATCATTGTTCCCCTGACGTTTTCCCATCCAGTTTAATCAGGTTTTCTCCATTGCTGGTATTTGGACTGCAATCACGTGTTCCCAGCCTTTTTACAAAGGCAAAAAAGTATTGATTAACCTCTTCAGAGTATGCTTTTACCCTGATCTTCCAACAGCCTTTGTTTCATCCTTTTTCCACTCTGAATTAAACCTGAACATGTCCCCACAGGGTACATGAACACACTGGGTCACCACCAGCTCTCAGGAGAAGACAGATAAACAGCATCATGAAAGGTGCCTCCTTATTTCTTCAGCCAGAAAGATATGTGTGTTAACTCATCGTATCAACGTTTCATTTCATTTCAACATGAAGCAAAACGGGCTATTTTTAATCACCAACAGACATACTAAGACATGCCCACTGGAAAGCATATCCTTAGCCTTGTCACAGCAGGGGCTGAAAGGCACGTGAACATCTGAATGGAGTTTAAGGACAGCACAATGTTCCATTCACATGGAATGCAGTGTGCCTTGGACACCCGCTGAAACTGCAATGGGAAAACAATACCAGCAAGCCATAATCTCCCACAGCTTTTCATACTCACTCATGGTGATCACTAAAGCTCTGAAGAAGCCTCAAGAACTGTATCTTTAAAGTAATGTCCTGAAAAGAGAGAAGAAAGGGCAAAAAAATTTGCTTTAGTACTTTTGGATATCATTAGTTACCTAGCTGAACTGAAAACCTGTCCAAATCAAACCCTTTTGGACAGCAGAGCAAATGACTTGCACAAAGAGGGAAGACTGCACTTTGCAGGCTTCCCAAAATCGAATAGAAGCAGAGACTGCCTGCAAGTAACAGTTAATAATTTCTTCCAACTGCTAAAGCAAAAAAGCTCATCACTGTATTGATTGATTTATAATATTTAGGTTCAGGGCAAAAAACAAACCCAAATCCCCCAAAAACTTGATTGTGATCCACTTTTTGCTCTGTCTCTTCTTGCTAGACCCGCTAGCTATCGTCCCATTAAGTTTACGTTTTGTCCGACCTTTAGCCTCCAGGGACCAGAGGATTTACCCCTTTCTCAGTTCCCAAACAGGGAAAAGGCTAAATTGCCCTCTGATAAATTGCTAGAATGAGCCAAAGATAAAAGCTTAAGTGAAAACAGTAATTCATAAAAAAATGGATCCTACTATAGAATCATAGAATTGTTTAGGTTGGAAAAGACCTGTAAGATCATCGAGTCCAACCATCAACCTAACACTGCCAAATCCACCACTAAACGATGCCCCTCAGCACCACATCTACACATCTTTTAAATACCTCCAGGGATGACACCTCAACTGCTTCCCTGGGCAGCCTGTTCCAATGCTTGACAACCCTTTTGGTGAAGAAATATTTCCTAATATCCAATCTAAACTTCCCCTGGCGCAACTTGAGGCTGTTTCCTTTCGACCTATCGCTTGTCAGCTGGGAGAAGAGACCAACCCCCACCTCGCTACAACCTCCTTTCAGGTAGTTGTAGAGAGTGACAAGGTCTCCCCTCAGCCTCCTTTTCTCCAGGCTATAAACAACTCCAGTTCCCTCAGCCGCTCCTCATAAGACTTTTTCTCTAGACCCTTCACCAGCTTCATTGCTCTTCTCTGGACTTCTGTGTCTCAATTCATTTATTACACAAACCACCCAGATACTCAATACAACTCTTCAGAATTAGATGATAAACAAGATCAAAATCCAACACAAGAGTTAAAAAAGTTACTCACTGGGCTACAGTCACAGTTTTGATTGTGTCCATGCAGAACAAGGGCTGATGCCGAATGCTTTCTCCAGATCAGTTTGTCAAACAAGTTATTGAGGCCAGGAATCAGTTTGAACTCAGCTATCATTTTATGAACCTGGAAAACAAAAGAAGTACACACTCATTTGCTGCAGCCTCAAATACGGATATAATGCAGTCTGGTAAACAGATGGGCACAATGACGTCATCCTCTGACAACAGAGTGACTTCTTTCATCAAACAGCATGTGTTTGTGTTAACACGCAAGCTAACCACGGCGTATCATTAGAGTAGTTTCCATTTGGTGAACATGGATAGAAAACAGGCATCTGGGGAGAAAGCTGTTAGTCAGCGCTTCAATTAACCACTGCACCACTGGAAGCAGCTTGGAACATCGGGAGATCACTTACAGCACATGGAAAACACATCTGTACCCAACTCCTACGTATCATAAAACTCAGCTGTGAATATTCGGTGATGCACTGAGCATCCTTTGCCCTTCCAGTTCACACAGCTGACGCTGAGGTAGTCCCCTGAAGATAACACAAACTATCGATATCATGGAATCATTCAGGTTGGAAAAGACCTTTCAGATCATCGAGTCCAACCAAAATCCTAACACTGCCAAGTCCACCATTTTTGTTCCAGTTACCTAGGCAGGGGTTCTGAGCAAAGCAGAGTCCCGCAGTAATACCACCACACTGCAGTTCACACGCAGCTCCTTCAGGTTAAGATGCAGCTGAAGTTCTTTAGAGGATGCTCAGAAGAGAAAAAAATGCCAGATTACTCAGGATTATTTACCAGTCTGCCTGCCAAGCTAGGACGTGGTACATCAATGACATGTTTGAAACAGGCTATAGAATACAGAAAGCTAATAATTTTGGTGTGAACAGCTGTTAAATATCTTCAGTGCAAGCTTTGATACTCTTGATGTAAGCAATTTAGAACACGAGAAATAGAAGAAACACAAAGTGGGACTCTCATCAGCTGGAGGCCTATGACAAGCAGTATCCCTTGGGACGTAGCATAAATGAAAACCATGCACGATTAGGAAGCCCAATATGCTGTAAAAATTAAATGCCCAAAGCAGTAATGGACATATTCCTTAAAAACAAGTCACCTAAACAATAATCTAGGTCATCCCTGAGATGCAGAATTGTAACTAGCAGTATTTCAAGCAGATCACGTCATTTTGTTCTATTTCCTCAAACACCTCAACGAATCGAAAATATCTGAAGACGATGCTATTTTACAGGTTTTCATTTTTATTCCTGTTTGCAGCACAGCTGATGGCCTTTTCCATTCCTCTTGGCTG